CATGCCTGGGAACCGAAGCAAATCACTAATTTACTCCTTTGATGAAACGGAGGTCTTAACAATTTCACGGCAAATTAGAGAAATGAAGTCATCAGATCATGGCAAACGTGCAATTTATTTAATCTAAAAAAGAGAGTTACCTCAAACCAAATTGCGTTTTTCAGAGGCTCAAAAGTAATCTCGGTTGAAATGTGTTGAATTTTTGTGGTTGGGATTATTGAAATAAATTTCTGAACTATCTGAATAAATTTAATAAAAATCTGAAAGAAAAACATTGATAAACTAAAAATTAATTTTGTTAGTATTTTCTTAATTGTATAACTGGCTGCCCAATAATGAGTGTTTTGAAATATATATTTTTGTAACTCTAACAGCTCTAGATTTTTTTCATGTTTTCTAAAGGAAAATTTTTGCTTTATCTAATTTGTCTTTAAATTTGTCCCGCTTTTTCGGTTGTTTTTTGGCGCACATAAATAAAATTTCTGGCTCATTTTTCCTCTCAACTGGCATAGAAACACACGATTTATTTCACCGAGCATTTATATCCACATTAAAGCTTGTCCAAAAGCTGAACATTCAATTTTATTTATGGGCGAAAATGCGACCGAAACAACACAATATTTGGGCGGCGCTCGCGAGCAAGACACGCGGGACCCAGCACAATGAACAATATTCCTAGTGGCGTGTGTACTTTTAATCGACCATTGAACTGTGGAATTGCATGTTGCCCTGCACCAAATAACCACAAGTCACGTGAGAGCTGTCCCACATTTTATGCGCGCCAGCGTTTTCATTCATCCGACAGAAAACAAAAGAGAGGACACACTCGTTTGTTCGTTTGGCCGAGCCAATCCACCTGGGCACCACTTTATTTTATCTGGCTCGCGATAAATTAAACGACTCATTAGCCGCCGCAGAGGCACGACAATTATACCGAGAGCGGGCCAATTTGAAAGTACAATTAGCCGATGGTTTATTTTCGCCGGCACTTTCGATGGAAACTTGCCACTGCACGAAGAGCAAGAAGAAGTTTCTCACTTAAATGCGCCAAATTTATTTTCTCTGATGAATTTTCATGAGCTTGTCAAGACGGACTTGAAAGTGAAAATTTTTTTATGGATCAGGGCTAATCTGATTCATTGAATGAATTATAGCTTGCCAATCTTGTCATTATTATATATGAGCAGGATTTTAGCTTAGGGGAAACCATTGATTTTTAGTTAAAAAAAAGTTTAGAATGTTTGAAAAGATTTTTACTCAAATTCAAGTTTAAATTTATCTCAGTGCTCTAATGCACATTTTAAGACTTCCTTGCTCAATAAAGTTCACTTTAAAACGGGCGTCTTCTGTTTTTATAAGTTGCTGGTTTACAATGAAAAGTCACGGATGGTCAGTAAAAAAGCTTTACAAGTCCGCTCTGTGGCGAAACAGATGCCGTTCATCAACGCCAGATTATATAAACCAAGCTGACCTTTCCCGAGGGGTGTTTACTAACAAAAGCTGTAAAGCCGTTGCAAGGAAGACTCATTTCTTATAACCCACTTCCTTTTGCCGGACGCACTCTTTATTGCATTCCACGCACGGAATTAGCTCCCGATCTGATACAAATGGGAAGCTTAATCACGAATATATAAGGAGTGGCCTATTTTCTTCTTAATCGAATGCCAGAGAAGAGAAAAGTCGAGTCAATCAAACTCGAATTCTCCACGCTTAATTTCGTGTCGACGCAATCGATCGCAGAGCTTTCGTATTATTGCTGGATGTTTTCATTTTTATCTTATCAAATTGCAAACAAATGCAGTCAGACGAATTCTCATTCTCCATCATACGACGTAATTGTCCGTATCGGAGAGCGCAAATAGCAGGTCGGTCGGGGTATTGAGTTTGTTGCTCACTTATACAAGCGCTCCCTTGTACGGTGAACTGATTTCGGAATAACTAGACCAGAAGCAAGCTGGAAATCCCATTAGAACAGAACCTCTTAACCAGATCTTGAACACACGTGACACCCTTGACGGGGCTGCCTGGCCAAGACACCAAAATTTCCTCCTTATATGCGTCGATAACGTGTGAATCGCGTGCAACCACACACAACACGAACATAACTTTTTAAGGGTTCCGCGAGCAAGCTTTGCTTTATTTAATTTTGTTGTTTCCGATAAAAAGTTTGCTGCTTTTATCTCAAAACGTTTCGCTGGAAAGAGCGGTGCTTATCTTTTCTATTGGCACCTGGGGAGTTGGAAAAAAGGGGGAAGAGACTCGTAATTTGGAAAATTGAATTATTGGTTGCTACGTGAATTGACTGCAGAAGAGCGTTTCCCAATGCAAATACTTGAATTTTGATTTGACCTAAATATATCTGCTTTAAATTTTAAAATATAAATAATAGTTACATAATACTGAAGATTTTATTCTTTCACCTTTAAATTATATCAGTATATATTCTATTTTATGGAAAATTTAATTTTTAATATCTTGCTGAAAACAAATATCTCTATTCTAGTTTAGTTCTTTTTCAATTCCGTGAGAAAATCTGTGATGTTTCAATTAAATTATACTCTTTGATCCCATTCAAAGAGCGTGCAGATGAGCTCCTTGATCCCAATTCCAACGAAATTACTGTGCCCCCGAACCTCCAAATGCCAAATTAATGATAATCAACGCACATCAGAGTGCGTTTAATATTGACCTCTCGCAGAAAAGCTGTTTCTTCGCGGACCCGCTGGCTGAATTACTCATACTATTTGTTCCACTCTCGGCGCGAATCAGATGTACACATGCGAAGTTGCGCAATTGAAGCCGACTCACGGTGATCTGCAGAGGGCACGTGACTCACCTCCATTATAATAATCCCGGACAGAAGGAAAGTTTTGTTAAAATCAAATCGCGATGTAGGTGTTACACCGCGTTGTTTTCTATTACACGCTTCAGCTGCATCCGGCGCCGAAAGTGATTAGCGTAGAATGCGCGGAAGTTGAGCAAAAGATGGAACGGACGGATTGGTGCGCGCAAAAAATGGGTCGCTTGTTCCAGCTGGCACTTTCATCGCGAAACGAGACCGGCGAAAAATGAGTCAGATTTGCCGCTTATTAAACTGAAGGCGGAAACGTCTGCTTGGAGAGATGCACTTTTCTGATGCAACTCCACAGGCAGTCATGCAAAATGAAAGGCAGACTTGTATAAATTTTAAGAAAATGTAAAAAATCAGACGCTTTTTTTTGCTTCTCATAAATATTTAAATTGGTTCTGAACGGTCGGTGAAATTTATTTGAAAATTATCATTTTTCACGCAAGCCCGTTTGTGTTTTCTTTTTTCTCGGCGCAGGACGGGGCAAAATTATGAGCCTGCATGCGTGCGGTAGGCGAGCAAATTAAAAAAAAAAGACGGGGGTATGCCGTAATCGGCGCAAACTGCTCCTTCTCGAGCGAGTTGCATTATTATTTTGTGCTGCAGCATAAAATGAATAAAAATATTGCTCTCGCAACTTCATTAGTGTGTCCGTGCGTCGACCGAGCAGGTAATTGAGAAAGTTGTTGTGCGCCAGCCAGTGAGTCGTTAGGTCGCCGGCAACACACTCGGTGCGAGAAGAAAAGGGAATGCTGAGGCGCCAACGCTTCGACCTTAGCCGAATTCGCACCTTCAAATAAATAATAGCGAGTGTGACATCAGGCCTTTCTCTCAAATGAACTGAATTTACTGGCAGTCTTATTAGCAAAAAATTTAAATTCATTGCCAAAGAAAAAAAATGCAAGATGAAAAGTCGTTCTTTATTCCTTTCGAATCGCAAAATCCACTAACTTCTGATACAAATAGCTTCAAATCTCTCCGCTCTAAACGGCAGTAAATTCCAATTCTCCAACTCCCCTTAAGCTCTACGATTTCAGGCAGAATCACATTTTTGGGAAACCATCATTTTTATGCGGGACGACACCCGTGGTTCGTTTTCTCCTCTCAGTTTGTATTTTATCAGTCTCGGGAGGTCACCGAGGCAGGTCAGGTTATCTTCTTTTTCCCAGCTTTTCTACCGCAGTGCAGGTCACGTGACCGGCAATGTAAAATGTATAATATATGTGGTGGAGCGTTGGGGAAGAGCAAAGGTGCGAGACGTGACACCTCGCGATGTTGTACGAGGCAAATCTTTTGCATCATCCTAATTTCGCTAGAAATGTTGCTGAAAATTTGAAAATTGCAGAGATTGGCATATGATGTGCGTATGCTTATGCTCACATCTGTCAGAAAAATCTAGAGCTTTCTCTCATAAAATTGTTGGCATCAAAACTGCCAAATCTTGCTCGTTTGAGCCTAGGGGGGTGTGAAAATCTTTAAATATTTTGAAAGGCAGCAACATCTATAAAATATGAATTAATGGAATCAGAAATTCACCTCATAAATTTTAATTTATTTAACTCATAGAAATTAATGTTTTTTTTTTATTTATTTTTATTATTTTTTTAGAATAAAAAACATTTCTGCAACGAGGAAAAAGCCAAGATTCATTCATTTCCATGATCATCTCCTTGAGTGTCAACTTCTTCAAACAAATTATTTAACTCATTTTTTCATATAACAAATTGTCCTTTTGGTTTTATATTTTTATTTGATAAAATTTTCGGCTTCCTAGAAATTTATGAAATTCACTCAAGACTGCATGGAACGGGATTTGCTAGCCTGAAATATGAAATAGACAGATATGCGACCCGCGGCCTGAATGATAAAATAGCCATCCCTCTAAAAAACCTCATCTCCCATTCCACGGACGACTTTCTTATATTTCTTCCTAGTCTTTGGTTTCGTGTTGGAACCGCGAGACCTAATACGACGGCCGTCAATCTGACACTCCCGCCGCCGGGGCTCCGTAATTCGATTAGGGGCCGTCGCTGGTCTGATGAATGCCTCGGAAATGTGGATTTCGCAGCGGGCATTAATTTCAATAAGCGCGCGCGACCCCCTGACCTTTTTCAGCAAAATAACTAACGATCGCAACGTGTTTTGATTCCAGGATCAGCATGAAAATCTCGCGCTGCATACACACAAGGGGATCGAGTTCCTCGAGAAGTACGGCAACTTTGTGCGAGACCGATGTGCCATCGAGACGGAGTACGCCTCGAAGCTCAGGAGGCTCGTCAAAAACTATCAGCCCAAGAAGAAGGACGAGGAGGACTACCAGTGAGTATCAAACGGGTTTCTATATAATTCATGAAATGATCCTTTTCTGTGTATTGTAGGAAGTTTAAAAATTATTGAATTTCGTTTCGTTCACCACAATTATTTAAACGATTTTTACAATTTATAGATAAATTCAACGTGATTGAGCTTTTCAATTTCTTCATTATTAAATATATTCTTTATAATTCAAAAATGAAAATAATCCGGCGTAGAGAGTGATTTTTTTAATGGCAAAGCTTTTCATGGAAAAGCGGCGAGAGGGGGAGAATTAGTCAAAAAGTCGTTGGAATACAAATTTATTGTTTTCCTCGGAAATCCCTTGTTAATCCACCCTCCTTTCTCGTTAACGGCGCAGCCCAAAAGTCAAAGTAGGGCTCTCGACGAAGGGTGGCTTTGTTTTAATTTGGCGAGCGTTGATTTATAGGTAGCAGCTCGCGGCCACATGGTCTTCGCTTCCATAATCCCGCACAGAAAAGGAAAAGACGTTGTGCGGCGCACGGAAGCAAACCTCATAAGTTCCCTTTCGTTCCGCAAAAATAAGCTCTTTTCACCACTTCCATACTGGCCGTTTTGTGGCTGCAATTCTTGCAAACGGATCGGGGCTCTTGCTGCAAATGTAAATTACTCGTTACTCCATTTGCTATAACGTTTGTTTCCGATTGCGCCCCCAGTGAAGTAAGCAGCTCATAATTATATCATCACTCGTTAATGCAAACATTTCAATCTGCTTTTTTTAAATTAAAATCAAATTTGAAAACTCCAATATTAAATTTATAATTGTGTACATTAAAAAATTCAATTGTACGTGTTTGATTTTTATTTGTTATGACATTTTGATTATAAATTAATAAAATTAATTAATCATTTTAACGACGTAAAGAAATTTTTCCGCCTATTTCCCCTCCAATTTGTAAAATACTACCTTTGAAGCTTACAAATGTAATTAACACCCCTTTTCACAAGCGGCCTCTCACCACGCGGCGGCGATCCGATTCGCTTTGAAGTCTCTTTGTCGGCTTTTCTCGCGCCCCACGCCACGTAACGTAAGCGACAAAGGGTGATTCGATGGAGAGCAAAAGCACTCGGCCGGTGTTGATAAACACGCGAGTGGTGTTGATGATGAGCGTTCGGCGCTGTATCGACCACTTCGGCCGCGAACTGGGTCACAGATAGGGAGGATTTCATAGCATTAGTGCCCTGCTGAGAGGTCACTCGGGTCGCACCCACCGACCGGGACTGCACCATTTTTACAAAAAGAAAACTGGCGGTGCGCCACTTGCACGTTGAAGCAAAACTGTGATTGGAATTATAATTCAATTTTTTATTTTCAAAAATTTCTTTGATTAAATTATTGTAAATTACTAATTTTTCTGATGTTGCATATAAACATGCAGAGAAAATTTTAATCTTTTTGAAATTAAAATTGTATTTAGAAGTGACAAAAAATATTTTATAATATGATAAGATAATGCAAGATTTTTATAATCATAGTATTTCATTTCAAACTAGAATGCTTTTGACATCAGCAAGTATTTTTTGACAACAAATTTTCATATAATTTTAGCAAATTAATTTCGTTTTTAACGAATAATATTGGTAAAAAATTAAATAAAAATATTTTGTAACTTGTAAAGTATTAATATTATGTACTATTCTGCATTCAACTCACAATCAGAACTAATAAAAGAATGCAAAAGAAGTTCTTGAAGTATTTTTACAATTCAATGTATGTTAATTGTTTATTCATTTCATATGTTAATCAAATGTAGTGCCATTTAATACAATTTACGACCTCTTTTTCTAAGAAATTAGTGACACTTGTGCGTAGGTCACTCTCGGCGGGATTATGCAAAATCGACAGTCTTTTCGCTCCCAAGGCTGCGCAGCGTGTACTGGGCGTGCTGCATTTCTAAGCAAACAACACTTTCGTCCGAAGGAGAAAAAGCGGCCCACGCAACGCAGCCCCTGGTGGGCGTCTGATCTCGGCTCAATAGACTTTATCGGACGCGTTGTGAGTGGAATGGAATTTCTCGCGGTGAACTCGAAGGCCGCTCGCCGCCGCCTTATCAGCCAAACGCCGCTAATGCGAAGAATTGCGTCGGAAATATGAATGAATTAGCATTCCGGGTGCGCATCAATGCGTCACCCTGTAACAGAAAAAAGAAAGAAAGGGCTCGTCCTCGTAGTTTGCATAAAAAGCAGGCCGCCATTACTCAGCCTTTGTTTTTTTTTGCCGAGCGCAATTTTTATTCAGGCGGCTTTTCCCAGAAGAAAATATAATAAACAAATCAGCTGGAACGTGTCGCAGTTTTCTATACAAAAAAAAGCACCCCAAGGTTGAACTTTGTATTCATTTCTCCCTCTCATAAATATTAAAGTTTGCCTCCTCAAGAAACAAGCATTAGTCTTTGTAAAATTAAAAATTCTAGCTACAAATCACACGTCCGTTTTGAGAATTTTATCAAATTTATCGTCCAACAAAAATTAGTCCGCCGCTCGTTTTGGACGTTTGCCTGCCCGGCACGCCCGATAAGCTTGGCGAAATTTTATTTATTCGCCCCGTTTTATACAAGCCGGCCATTTGCGTGTTCCAGGTACAGTGCATGCCAGGCGTTCAAGACGATGATGAACGAAGTGGGCGACCTTGCGGGCCAACACGAGCTCGTAGCCGAGGACCTGACGAGCACCGTCTTGCAGGAGCTCCAACTGCTGGTGCGCAACCTCAAGGATGACCGCAAAAAGGTAACTGGACACCCCTGGCTGGGGTTGCTGGCCGTCAATTCATTTGATTCCTGTGCTGAACGGCCAAGGTTCAACGGCTCGAGACGCCGGATTTTTTTTTTAGACAGCGTTTTAAGCAATGGCCTGGGAAATTCAATCGTGGCCCACGGGGTTTGAAGGTTTATGAAATAAAGAATAAAGCTTCTAAAAAATTAAAGTTTGGTTTAATATAATAAAAAAAAATAGTATATATTTCCAACTGGTTTAATTTGCCCTCAAGTATGTAAGTGAAGATAAATAGCAAAAAATATTAAAGAATGCTGATTTGAATAAATTTCATGAGCCGAGCCGCAAGCCTATTTAAAAAATTGCTTTTTATCAAATGAATATTTAATCCAATCTTTTTAATAACTTTTTAGCACATGGCAGAAGAAACCAGACTGCGTTCGACGCTGCAGACGCAGTTGGCCGCTTTGGACAGAACCAAGAAAGCATACGAGAAAGCATTCAAAGAAACGGAAAAGGCGCTGGACGAGTACCAAAAAGCCGACGCCGATCTCAACCTCTCGAGGGCGGTCGTTGAAAAGGCCAGGATCAACATGGTGGCTAAAAACCAGCAGTGCGAAGAGGCCAAGAAGGACTATGCGAATCAGCTTGAGAAGACCAATGAGCTCCAGGTAATTGCGGCAATTGCATGACTGGCCAAAATTATTTCTGATTTTTTCATAAAGTTTCTCACTTTACGGCCAACATAAAAATCGTCTGCGTGCAACGACGGCTTTTGAATTCCACTTTTTAAAAATTTTCCTCATTGCCAGAGGCCATTCCTGCCATTTTTACACTGGCATTACCCGCACGCATGCAGTTGAGTCTCAAGTCAATTTTTTGCTTGCTTGCGAGGCGCTTGAACCTCGTCCGGCTGTTGTGAATGAGCTGCTATTTATTAATTAGCGTTAATCAACACCAATGGTGTTCGTCTATCGTACAAACGAAATCCGTTATGGAGAAGGGGTTTCTTTATTTATTTATTTCTTAGTAGGCGGCCACAATGGCAATCCTTCTTTCAAGTCGCTTCGTTGATTGCCACTCTTTGACCAATTTCCTGAGTCATGGACCGACAGGAAATGATTTCTAAACTGCCCATTGTTTCCATTTCAGCACCAACACTATTCGGCGCTGATTCCTGAGGTGCTCAGACAACTGCAAGAATTAGACGAGAGAAGGGTGCGATCCATCAAAGGGTTCATGATCAAGTCGGTCGAAGTCGAGAAGAAGACTTTCCCCATCATGGACAAGTGTTTGGAAGGCATTGTCAGAGCTGCAAACAATATCAATGAAAAAGAGGTTGGCACATAATATTGAAATATTTTTGTATATTTTATTTTTGATAAAAGTAGGAAGTAAAAATGGCTAAAATGTTACATATTTTCAGGATACTCGGCTAGTGATAGAGAGGTACAAGTCTGGTTTCAACCCACCCGAAGATTTCATGTTCGAAGACCTGCAGCGAGGTTCGGACGAGCATAGTGGCTCAATGATTTCCAACCACAGCAACTCGCTGCCATCCATGTCCAGAGTTGACACAATCAAAGGCACCATCTCCGCAGGCAAAAACAAAAAACGCGCCGGCCTGTTCACTAGCCTCTTTGGCAACAACAAGGTAGTCCTCTTAACACAGCCTTTGGCTCTCGTAACGATTTAGTCAAATCTTGTAGGACAATTTGCACATGGCGGTTGCAAAAAGACCAACCATGACAGAAAAGACAATTCGATTCTTTGTTTGCTCTAATTAGACATTAGACTAGAGCTTTGAGATTGATTTTACGACTGGACGGAGGAAGTTCTAATTTTCAAGGGACTTCTTCTGGCCACTGTGACCCTATATTGTTTGTTAATTCTTCTTTATCATTTTTCTTGGGTGACTTTCTTGGGACCAATAAATAACTGCTCAATAATTGACGCGTTGGTGCCCTCGTATGCAAATCTGTAAGTAAAAAATGAGCCTTGCCGAGCACCAATTTTGCAGCAGAGGCTGTGGGTGCTGCGGCTGCTTTGCTTTTGGTGGCTTTTAAACTAACAGGGCTGACTTGGGTGAAATTTCAATTATTGATTGCCCATCTCTCTCTGTCTCTATGACTCTTTCTCTATTATTAACAAACAAAATGTGGTGCTGGAATTATCCATACCGTAGACTATTCTGATTTTGGGCCAAGTCTCTCTCAGTTGATATTGATTCTTGTTTTATTTTCTGTTTCACGCAAATCAGAGATTAATTCATGTTTGCACTCATTTCAAGGTATGTTTATTTGTGTTCTGGATGTTTGGTATAAAAAAACAGACAGATTTGGTTTTGAAATCACAGTAGTATTTTTTCCCATTTTCACATTCACAACTGCTTATTTGTTTAATTTAACCAAGTAATCAACTTAGTACTCTCTGCTTCAATGCTTTATTATCTCAAATGTTTTAATATGAACTTGACTGGACTTATTATGATCTTCATCGGAAACTTTCCTGCTGAGCCTTCGAACACAGAAACACTGAAACAGATTATACAAGCCATTCAAGAGACACATCCTTCATTGATCTTTTATAAAGCAAGCACTTGATGGACTTAACTATTCCCAATGGCACTTAACTGTTTCTGCCAAAATAAACATTTCACACACAGCTTTTCTAGCAACCTAAGTCAATTTTCATGCAGGCTCTCTTTGGAATTTTTACCTACACTTCTTAACACACACCAAACCAAACACTAGCTTAGCATCAGTGTTGTAAATTTTGTAAACATGACATATTTGCGATATTTGACTAACCTTGGAAATTCATTCCGATCTGATTTCCCCCTAAAATTGCTAATTCTACTTTCCCTTTGCAGTCAAATTACTCTAATTCGGAAACAAAGGAAGATTACACGGACTTGCCACCAGTGCAGAGAAGAAAAAAGCTGCAGCTGAAGCTGGATGAAATTGCACTACAAATCAACAAAGTAAAGAGGAAATCAAATATAAATATGTTTTACTTAAATTTTTTCAACCAGGAAACACAAACACGAGATGGTCTGATGAAGATGAAGAGCGTTTACGAGGCCAACTCAGCCCTTGGAGACCCAATGTCGATTGAAGGCCAACTGAACGACTCGGGGCACCGATTGGACAAACTGCGACAAGAGCAGCAAAAGTTCCTTGCCTGGCTCGACGAGGCTGAAGGAAAAAGCCATTTGGTATGCCCATAATTTTCTTATTTAATTGATGTGTTGTTTAAATCCCACATGTACTCAAAGTTTTAGTACCCAATAATTGATCTTTAAAAATTATTATTTTTATTTTTTAATTCTAACATTAACAATAAATAATTTGATGCTAATCTCTGAATTGCAGAATAATCCTGTGTCATCCACAACGTCGTCGCCAAGCAGTCAAAGGTCCAACAGCATGCACAGAAACTTGCTGAACGGAAGCTCGAACGGCAAACAAAGGCATAGCTCCTCAGACGAGAGTGTCAGTCCGAGTGCCAGTTCGGACGGCAGCAGGCACAAACAGCCTCCAAACACCCTAGCCTTAGGGTGAGTAATTGTTCCAATGCTGCACCTCTTGATTTATTTTTAGTCCAACACTTTTCACTCCCACCCCCCTTTGAGTTTAGTTTTCTTTTTGACTAACAACTCAATGTTTGCCAATTTTGGCAGGACTTCCCACAGTCCGGAGAGTGGTCTCGGCTCTCGCACTAGTTTACCAGACTCGGAAAGAGGAGACGACCTGGCCGGCGCAGAATGCATAGATGACGATGGAGACTTTGCTGACGGACCACTGACGCCCCTGGGCACATGCAAAGCCTTATACGCCTTTGAAGGTAACACAAGAGTTTCTCCATTTTGTGAGTTTAATGATTTAAAAATTTGCTTTGAAAAATTAAAATTTGTAAATTAAAACTCTTGCAAGCTTTCAAATATTACTTTTGCAACCGTTTTTGAATAAATTTCAAATTTTTAGCCTCAAGTGAAGGTTCCATTCCAATGTACGATGGGGAGGAACTTCTGCTTCTGGAGGTTGACCAAGGAGACGGTTGGACTCGGGTGCGTCGCATGAATGACCTGGAGGAAGGCTTCGTACCGACCTCGTACATTGAGTGTTCACTGTACTCAACTTGCTAACACGGTATAATGTCAGTTGAGAGTTGATGATGCTTCTTGTTCACAAAAACACTCACCACCGTTTTTTGCATTCGTTGATGTTTTTCAAGTTGAAAATAGCGGTTGTGTTGACAGTGAACCGAGTTTTATTTTTTATAACGCCGATTTGAATTTTTCATGGTACATTATTGTATTATTTTGGTGCCGTTGGCGCCGTTTGGGCAGAAGTAGAGAATCGCTCGGCGGCGTCAGTCGTTTTCAACTGCAAAACTATGTTATTATGATCTTGGCAATTGACTATGTACATAGCTGTGTAACTATACTGTAAAGTTTTCTAAATTTTTAAGTTTCTGCAAAATGTCGGGGATGACCGGGTTTTCTTTTGTGAAATCTGCGCGCTCGTCACGGCCTCTATATCTAAAGAAAAGTAAAAGAAATGAAACAATATCAAAAGATCGGAGTAAATCTGCCAAGAGAGCTTTTCGATGTCGCTTCAGCATCTGCTGTTGTGTAGCTTTTTTAATGTTTCCGACTCAACCCTGGATCACTAATTAAACGAGGATGTGATTTTTTTTTATAAAATTGAGCGACTTCAGATGTTAAAAGGACGAGTCACAGTGGCCACCGCAAGTTGGGCCCGTCTCTGCTTAAGTGCGTAATGTGCAATATTTGAAAGGACAAATTTCGCCAAAGTTAAACACTTGTGCTTTTTAAAGTGTTCACTTTATCTTACGCGCACTAGGTAGCCACGAGACGAGCCTTCTTTTGGTCAGGTCGAAGGCTTAATTGACTGCATTCCTATGTAATAAGTTAAATGATGTGTGTATGATATAGGGCGTCAAACATTATTAATAGTCATAGGCAACAATAATAAATTAATTAGCGCGCGGGATAATTATTGAATTGCAAAACGTTTCGACAAAAACAGCACTGACACTTGAACGTAGCTTTGGATCATTTGGTTCTGAAATTTGCAGCAAAAGGAACATGTGCCAAAATATTTATGTTTGAGTAGCAGGGTAATTTAGTGAAAGTGTTAGAGGTGCACTCGAAATTTAATTTGAAACTTTTAACACAATCTTTTTTGTTTGGAAAAATCTCTGCTGTTTTTTTGTTGAATCTGTGATTTCCGTTTCGTTCATTAGATATCTCACCAGCCGTCCTTTTTGAGAGAATGCTTTTAAGAATTAAGAAAAATCTAAAGATCGGTCACTCGACAAGCTCAAGGTTTGTAACGCGTAAAAACAAAATTATTATTTATTTGCTCATAAATATATATTCCCATATTTTTTTTTTGCCAAGAAAAAACTTGAAACGGAGCCTCGAGTGACCCAAAATATTTATTCGAGGCTTTTTTAGTCTAGTTTTGGACACACGCAAACAGAACTTTATCTTTCTCACTCACCAACACCAAAATTAGGATCGACAGTTTTAACATTAGTCAAGATTTAGACGAGAAAAGCACACTCACGTGTAAAAAGAGAGTAAAATGAGAGGAGTCGCCGTTACTACAGGACCTGGTGCAATTGTTTATAAGTTCAGCTTGCGAGGTTCATTTATGATTGATTTGTGCGTATGGAGCCAGGAATATTTGCTCTCAGTATGTCTTTTATTTTTGCTGCATCAGTTCTCAGAATGTGCCCATATGGTTATGGTGTACTATCACAACAATTAATTGCTATTATTTGTAAAACGGTACCTTTTTGTGTATAATTTTCCAGTCCACGAAATAAAAATATATCAAACAGTAATTTGTGGTACTTAAATTTTCACACCAATATTCATCTGTAATGTAATTTAAATATTTAAAATTATATTTTAAAATAAAATTCAAATTAAAATACTTAAACATAAACCAGCTTATTCGAGTATCTAATAATTAAATTAATAAATTTAGTTGAAGTTTAAAAGCACTTGTGGTTCACTTCTTTTTTTAAAATAAATTTTAATAAAACAGGCAAAAACTAGTCAAAAAACACCAAAGCGCTCACATCTCCCCCCCCTCCCCCCACCTGTCTGCTGCATTTTCATCAAAATAAAATTAAATTCTCTGCAGGGCTGGCGAGGAGCGCATCTCCGCCGACTTTGAACGTGATCTGAACAGCTCCAAACTTACAAAATGTTCCGCTTCGTGATCTTTTCCACCTTTCGTGTTTTCTCAGGTTCTGATTTGATTGGAATTTTCCTCTGCAGGCAGTGCAGGCGCGCAGACTTTACAAAAGCGCTGACAATGAGAGGTCAAAGTGCATGTCTATCCCTTCAAATATTTGTCCGCCATAGAACGCCACCGCGCCTGCAGCTGCTTTCTGCCTTTTGCATGTTTTGCTCCATCATTGCCTCTGACTCTGATTCCCAATTTTCCGCAGTTTGTCTCACAGAAAGTTAGAAAAATCTGCGTCCCGATTCCAGATCATCAACTGATTTTTCTATTTGTACCACCGCAGGTAAATGAAGTTTTCGAGTTTTCCTTGCTATCTTATGCTACAAAAAGATAAAATAATTTGATATCTTCACAAGCTATACACATGATATTTAATGTAATTTTATTTTATTGCCAAGAGCTTATCAATTTTAATAAGCACTTAATTAAGAATATTTTTTTAAGCTTGGTAGCTTCGTCCGGACTGTTGTTAAGGCCCATTGTGATTTCGCCACTTAGGACTCCTCTGCCCTCAAAACCACCTAAAAAATGGCTGCTAAGAAGGTATTTTCAATTAATAATCTGATTATTCCTTATATTGGAATTTTTAATTCGATGCGAATAAATTAATTTTGTCTTCCGTAGCCTTTTATTACTTTCGGCTTGAAACCTAACACGCTTCAAGTCCTTTTTTCCAATCCCAAGCCAACAGTAGAGGAGCTTCAAAAATTAGGGATGTTAGAGCTCATCAACTTCCTTTGCAGTAATGGCTTGCAGGAAGTGAAAATGCATTGGCGTGAGTAGCATAGATAATGAGCTTAAGCTTTCATAATAATTATTAAATTTCTGTTTTACAGTGGCACCCCAGTTGGCTACAGCCGCATGGATGATGATTGACGACTTGGACAAGAACACTGTCCTGGGACCAGTTCCACCAGGCTATGTACAAAATGGGCCTCCCAATGCCGGCGCGCTCGGAGCAGCACTTGGAGCCTACAACGCGCCCCCGGCCGTCGGCGCGGCGCCTGGTGCCTTCCCAACACATGCAGAACTTGCGGTGCATGCCGGACGGCTTGGTGCTGCCTTCACAGCGCTCTCCGAGGCGCTGAAGGCACCCCCGGCGCCCGCACAGCACTAACAATTAGTAGCTGGAGTTTGATCAGTCTCTTTAAAATTTATAATTTTCTCTTGTCGATGTGGATCTGCGACGGATTTTTTTTTTTGTAAAGTATAAGCATGGCCTGCAAAACGTTGGGGTCTGATAATCAGCCAGGCAGTAGTGTTCAGCAAAATTCTTTTTGGTGTGACAGAGCAGGATTCTGCAATGTTTAAAATTGAAAATAATTTAATTCTTGTAATTTTTTAAATTACAGAGATGTTCTTCTACTAGGGGTACGTAGTGCTTAAGAGTAGTTTTAAAGAACTATAATCAACTGCGCTGGCCAAACCGAGCCAATATTGAAAGTTAGATTCTTGGTGAAAATCATGTATTTAATTTTTTAATTTTACAGCTACATCTTTATTAATTTATCTTGTTCTGGCGCATTAAGGAAGTTGATCTTTACAAAAAATACTAGTCATATGTGATAAGTTAGCTTTTTATATTTTATTACCATTGTTGGCTACAATAAAATAACATATATCAACAGGGCCAATGAAAATTGTGAAAATTACTTGCACAAATAGACACTCACTCAATGCATAGTATAATTTATTTGAATATGTTCCAGGTAAATTTGTGGCAATGAAAAATGCTTGAAGGGTGCGTAACAAGTCAAAACATGGTCGGTCACTAAGCAACATGGAACTTCAAAAAATCATTTGAATCATTTCTTAGAATTAATTTCTTTTTCCTCTAAAGTACTCAAACCCTTAACAACCACCTAAACTTCTGTCTGATCCACCGCCCCATTTGATTTAATCTCCACTCTGCGCGCCCCAGCAAGTTAAATAGTTTCAAATGCACACAGCAGTAGAAGTTGCAAAAGAGAAGCAATGCCAAGGCAGCAAACGCTTGTGCGGAAAGTGTATTGCGTTTAGAAGTAGAGCAGAAGAAGCGTAGGTGGGTCCAAAACTCATCTTGGCGACTGCGGGATTCGGTCATTCATGATTTTCCTTGCCAACCTGTACAACTCCTGAGGATAAAAGAAAAATAATCAATCAAAGGGACGGAGGAAGAATAAAAATCAAACCTTCTTAAGTTGTTCGTCTTGAACGATGACTGTTCGTCCATTTTCGCTGGAACGGAAAAATCCCAAAACCTTTTTCTGCGGTTCAGTAGTGTAGAAAATTATTCCGGCAGGATCTTCTTTTGGAGGTCCAGAGAGCTCTGACCATGGATTATTCCAATCAACCTTTTAAACAAAAAATGAAAAAAACATAAAGCACAAATCTATTTAAGGCCTCACCTGCCACTGGCCGAAAATGTCATTTTTTGATATAAACATCACTCGATTGTCGGTGTAAATGAGAGCTTCTTTTCCACTGTTGCCAAGGAGGGCGTGGAAGACGTAATTGTCTGTTTTGGCAAACTTTCCTTTCTCCACAATCTGGAACAAATATTAATAAATATCAGGTATAACATCCAAGAATATTAATTTTACATGCAAAAGCTGATTCCCGAACGCCTCCATCTCATTGTAAGGCCGGATTAACCCGTCCTGCTGGAAAAATCTTGAAAAACGCAAAGGACGCTGCTCCTCTGCAGTATCAGCAGCTCTAAAATTTAATTTCATAGAGGTAATGTTTATATGCATGTACATTTTTTTGCAACTACCTTTTGACCGATTCCAGTGTGTTGCTGGCAAAGTCGATCACGCCTCCGGTTGGCTGTGTGACAAGACCCAGCATTCCGGCGCCGAGACCCTTGAAAAATCCTCCAACACCTTCATCCCTGGCACCAGTCACAGGTTTTGTGATTACTCCAGTCACTCCACTCATCACATTCTATAAAAAACATTTATGCAACATTTTATTTATAACTGAAAGACATACATTGACAAGACCCTTTCCAGAGTGAGCGAGCCCTTCGTGCAAAGTATTTGGCCGACTTTGTTGCTGCTCACGCCTTCGTCTCTGGAACTCTTCATCCATACTCAAGTTGGCCAATGTCTTGCCAAAAGTGCCAGTAATTCTAGACATTGCGGCAGCTGTTCCACTCAAGGTGTGGCCAAACAAACTCCTCACACCATTTTTCAAGCCTTCGGCAAACTCTCCCGGCCCTTGGATGGCTCCCTGAGAATTTAAAAAATGAAATAAAAATTGATACAAGATTTCATAAGTATTTAACCTGGAAAGGTTCGTAGAAAAGGTCGCCGACGCCTTGGGTCAAACCCAAGAAAAGTCCAAAAGGATTTCCAATGACGTCGAGCCCGAGCACCAAAACGTACAACTGCTTGATGGCCTGTTGAGTGTAATGAGACTGTGCCTCACTTATTAACTGGCGCTGTGTTAAGAATGACGACTGTCTCTCAAAGTAACCAAGCCTACAATTAAAAATAATAAAATCTGGCAAAAACTATTTTAAATATTTTACGTACTTGAAAACCACATCCTGAATGTCTGTCAGTGTAACTCCAACGTTCTCCAAAAGAACATGAATGATGTTCAGCTGTGACGTTCCGCTGAGTTTACCTACTCCACCACTCATGGAAAAGCTGATGTGAATCTAATGGAAAAAAATAAATAACTACAAAACTTTGAAGTTATAACTAAAATTGCCTTTAAAGGTGAAAGATGGAGCTCGTCGTAGAAGTTCTTTTGCTCCTGTGCTGTTTGAATCGCAATCAAAGCTAAAAGAGGCTGATGGACCGTCTGAGTGTCAATGGAAAACTTCTCAGTCTGAAAGAAATTTAAATTTAATCCCTTCAGTAGAAAAAATAATAAAAATTTACATCTTCAGTGTCCAAAGTTTCTTCAGCGGAAAACATTCCAACCAGAGCATTTAAGAAGTCAAGCTCCAGTTTGACGTGGAACTCCTGCACCAGAACTCGCAAGTACTTGAACTGCTGCACTGGACTGTGCTCAAGGAGGCGCTGCACCACACTCAACTCCACAAAAGGTCTCATTGCTGACACAAAATTTAAAGTAATTTGATAAGCAGGACAAAATATAAGTTACCATTATCAGCGGCAATGCTCTTGGGAGGAGGGACTGGTGCCAAAATGTTCGGGAACATGCAGTTTGGCATTTGACAGTCAATCTGCAGATTGTTGAGCTTGGCGTGCAACATTCTCTGGTGGGTTGAGATCTTCAGATGGAACCAAATGCCAGGGTTGTGGGTCCTCCTCAACTCCTTAACGTAAGGAGTGACAATTCGGTTTAGAGACAAATCTGCCTCGGCACCGTCAGACAACTTGACAACTCGGTCACCCTGGCCGAGGGAGTAGCGTCGGTAAGCCAACTCCAAGATGTTTGTGTCTACCTCACTGAGTCGCTCGTAGTTTCGCTTCTTTAGTTTTTTGCACTCCCAGATTATTCCAGAGCTAAAAAAATGGTCAAGTTTGATAAATCACCAAAGAAATTTCAATTTTACTGTACTTCAGTAAAAGTTATTTTTAAGGGATATCAGAAAATGATAAAGTGCATACCTGGCCATGCGCATGTAGAGCAGCTCAACGATCTTCTTTTCCAATTCAGACACCAAAGAGAGGCCAATTCCTTGCAAAGACATGGTTAGCTCTACCGAGATCGGCTCAAGCTCAGCGGCTGCTTGAGCGTTAGTGGCCACTTCAGGGTTGGTAGTGAAAAGCAGCACCCTCTGTATTCCATCCAAAAAGGACACCCAGTAGACCACCTCGTCATTGTTTGCAGACACCCATAGCTTGCCAACTCCGTCTTTCCGAAGCATGTCCACAATCTCCTCTTTTTTGTTGTTTGCACCGAGTCCGTTCCACACCAAACTCCTTTGGCCTCTTGGCTCCTCCCAAGCAAACAAGGCTTGCTCCATTGGTGCTAATTTTCTGGAACAAAAATTTTCAATAGAAAAATAAAAATTGAATATTAAATTGTTATCACTTGATTGTAGGATTCTGTCGTTTTTCCCAGAAATCGACCGTGTGCTGAGTGTGGTTAACAATCAGCGCAGGAGCCAATCCCGGTTCGTAAGCACTCAAATTTACAAAAATGTTTCCTTCAGATACTTGGACATCAACATTGATTCCTCCAAACTAAAAAAAAAATCACTGTGAACAATAATTTCAACACATTTTAACATTAAAAACCTTATTGTGGAGTTTCAGAAGCACATTGATGTTTTCAGAAAAGGAAAATGGTGAAGTTGTCTCATTTGTGCCTTTAACTTTTAACCTCAGAGTGTTGTCATGATGGCCTATGCCTCTGGGCCAAAAAGGTGAGCAGTTGGATGGTTCGATGTCAGTCCACGGATCTGCTGGACGATCCCCTTCTTGGCATTGGATGACGAAACTGGTGTGGTTGACTAGCATGTAGTAAGGAGTGAAAGTCACCAGTTTTGTCAGATTTGAGCTTGAAAGCTTGATGCTCACTCCAATCTATTTTTTTTTAATAATAAATTAAATTTATATTAATAATTCAATTCAATTCAATTTATTTTTCTCCGAACAAGTCAATAATACTAAGCGGAAAAAATTACCTGGAATGAGTCATTCATTGACTTGCAGCTGACGGAGCCAGAGCTTCCAGCAACGTCAAGTGAAAATTTGTTGGACCACTCGCTGTCCTCCACTCTAATGGCGGCCTTCTTCTTCCCAAAGAAAACCTTTGGTCGGAATGAAAACAGAATGGGTCCCTCGAAGTCAGGTGGGTGGTACATGACATTGGTAGTGTCTTCCGATTGCTGTAAAATTTAAGTTTAAATTAAGAGCTGATCTTCAACATTTGTAAAAAAGATCACACATGCAGCAAAATAAAAGTTAAAGTGAAGGTGGAACTAATTACAAAATTCCGAACACAATCCGGTTAACCCTGAAAATGCAGTTTATAATACAAATCTTACAAATTCATATTAGAGGGAACGAACACTTGATATCCATTTTTGCTGTTAGTGAAATCACACTGAGTCAAATATCTGTACAAAAATAAATTCAACACGGTCCATGTGTTATTTAAATTAACTTCAACAAAAAGTGAGTGTTATTGCGAACTCACTTCCCAGTTCTTGCTGGACACGGACATAACAGACGACCATTTCTGAAAAGATGAACCATGTGAGGGAAAATAAGAAGCCAACTTTTATGAATTATTTTACACCAGTAGTGCTCATCAATGCCAATTTTGAGAGTTGGTACACACCAAAAATCGGAAGAAAAATAAAATGGTTATTGAAGAGTAGAAAAAATATTTTTCTGCAAAATCTACAAAAGTGTTTGTGTAAAATAATTTTGCCCTGACATGAATGTACCAACATTAGCAAAGCATGCAAATTGCGACTTAGTTGGCTGGAGAAATACCTTCAGAGGACTTCCCGAGGCCTCGTTTTTCTCTGTTTTTCGGGATTTCTGTAAATTTCCAAAAATCTAAATTTCTGCCAGTTTTCAAAATCAAAGACAAAACTGATTTGATCAGCTGGATTTAAAAATTTTGATCAAGTTTGTGTTTTTGTAGTTGTGTAAAGAAATTTCTAATATTGGTCTTATGAACTTACTCTGTAGGACAACTGCTTGCCAGTTTTGTTGATCATCCAAAACGGAGAATATAGAGACATGTAGAGAGTGCCATTGACATTAACTGTGTGCATGCCCATGTCAAGAGACATTTTAGCAGGACTGTCATAGGAGTCAAAAGACCAGACGGACAACTCTGGTGGTGTTGCACCAATTTCTCTCTTGCACGACCAGTTCTTCTCTAGGTAATCATCCAACTAAACAAATAAAATTCCCAAATTGTTTTCCCTTATAAAATCAGCAGTAGAAGAAAGTACCCTCAAGCACATCTGTGCGTTTCCAGGCTCCACGGTTGGCAAATGGATGCTTCCACCTGGCTGCACCTCCAGCTCCTTGCCCCCTTTCTCGGAAGCATAGACAAGGAAGATAGGGAGAAGGTTCTTCAGAACCACAGTCGGCTTCAGTGTAATATTGAAAATGCAGCTGTGCATTGTCTTCATGGTCGTTCCCTCAAAATACACATGCTCCATTTCTCCCTGAGCCCTAATGAAGTACGGCTCCTTGGCGTCTTTGTTCTTGGCGTCGCACTGCAGAAGTTTGTTGACAGTGATTGTGTTCTGCAGCTCCTTCCAAACAAAAGGTGTGATGCAAACAGTGTGCCTATTCATTATTTTTTAATGAGAGGATGTTCAGTGGTTAATCTTGAAAGTACATACCCTGGCAGGCTGAAGAACAGCTCACAGAAGGAAGTGTAGACTGCGTGCAAGGGCAAGTCTAATTTTTGTCCTGGCTGGACAACTCCAACGCATTCAACTTCATTCCCTCGTTTTGTCATGTAGTAAACGTCAACAGGCAAGCTGAACTGATTGTGCACTTGAATGATTGACCTCAGAGTAACGATTCTGCAGCTGCCGTCCACAGTCACCTCTGAAACAATTCCCTGCTTCTCAGGTTTCGCTGCCACTGAGAAATATCTCTTTTCCGCTCTGGCCATTGGGATTTTGATAGTGCAATTTTTTTCAGGCACCCTGACCTGTAGAATCTTTTCATGGACCTGAAAAATTAAATTTTTTATTTTATAAATTTATGAAAACAAAAATGAAAAGCTGACCTGCTCATTCAAAATCGACTTCCTTGTGTCGATTGCAGGAGTTGCTGGTTCTCCGAGAATCAATCCACACTCGGCGCCACTTTCCAGCACCACTTGCTCAACTCCACCAGAGCAACTTCCATTTCCGTCATCAACCTATGAAAATTTTTTTAAGAAACCTTTCATATAATAAATAATTGAATTACAATGAAATTGGTGTCTTTTAAAAGCAGAACAACTCTGATCCCTGTTTGGTTGATGATCTGGTATGGTGAGCCTTCAAGCTCCTTAACCTTCGGTCCTTCTTTTACAGCTAAGCGAAAAGCTTTGCTCAGATTTGTCATGACTTCCAAACAAGACTTGGAAACTGTGATCTCCAAATTATTATCAGAGCTGATCATTATGCTGGTCCCTGGCGGCGGTGGCGCAGCATCGACTTCGTCGGAAAGAGGGGAAAGGAATGGAGAGCTAGTTGCATTTTTCTTCAGCTCAAAATTTAGCTTCCAAGGAATAAATCTGCTAGAAAGAGTTAATAGAACATCCTATGAATTAAAATTCTTTGTTTACGTTTCTCCTTTGACATGAGGCTCAATCAATGGTTCCCAGAGAGCAAGTCGACTGTTGTAGTAAGACATTTGCAGAGAGACTCCGCCTGTGATCAGCAAGTTTCTAGCCCAGTTGGACACTCTGGCCTGCATGCTACTTTCCAAGAGAATAAGGGGCAGCGTCTTAATTCCAAAGCCAGCCTCCACGGTGATCACAAAGGATCCAGCGGTCACAACGATTTCTCCACCTTCGGGCCCTTGCTCTTTATCAAGAGCCTCACAAACAGATAAGGCATCAAGACCCTCCTCGGCAAGCAAGAACAAGTGATCCGTTTCTTTAAAAGTTTTAGGCCGCCACAAAAGGCTCCAATCTGGTTGAACTTTCTCTTCATCTGAAAATTAATAATAATTTTATACAATACCGTTTTCCCCCCAACAATTATTTTACCTTCTCCTGTTTCCTCCGTGCCTGACCCAAGAGCTGCCATTGTATTTGTGAGGATATTGATAGTTCCAGGAGTCACTGACAGCCTCACATCCGACAGTATGACTTCAATATGAGGTTGGTCTCCAGTGGTGCAGCCTCCAGCAACACTCAGAGTGCACGGTCTTAGCACCTGGCTCAGGGTCTCTTTTCTGCGTTCGGGGTTAAAAATACAAGAGTAAAGTTGAATGTTTTTGATGTTGAAGTTGATGGCTTGTCTTTCAGGAGTCATTCTAACTCGACCATCCCCTTCGACGCTAAATATGAGGGCCCTCGTGTTTATGTCTGACATGCTCTCAACCAAAATAATGTCTGGCTTTTCCAGGAGCACCTTTAGCTCAAAAACGTTCTCCTTTGAGGTTAAGCTATCTTTTTTGTTACCTAGAAAATATACATTATTTTAGATGAAGCAGGCAAAATTTAAAAAAATAAATAAATCTACCCGAAGAAGGTCTGGAGGCACTTTTGGAACCGGCGGACTTAGCTCGTTCTACTTTTGGGGTATTTCCTTGCGGCAATGCAGAAACAAAGAAGTCCGAAATCTTCAGCAAATAGTCCAAGCAGAGAACCAAATTAAATCCCGACACTTTGCATGTCAAAGTTGTGTTTGCTGTTGATTGGTTGAAGTTCAAAAGAATCATGGGACTTTTCTCTCGTGTCCCTTTTAGACTTAGAAGGTCTGATATGCGATTATCAGAGTTGGCTTTAAGACGCCGCATATCCTTCAATCCACAGTCGTCAAGTTGCAAGACAACAATCATGGCTCCGCTGGAATACATTACACCCTGCACTTTCATGCTGCTGATGTTGAAATGAGCCAGTCCGTGTCTGTCATCGTTTCCAGCCTAAAAACTATGAATATAAAATTTGCTTCCTAAAAATACAAATTTTAATTACAGGCGTTGTTGCAGGCACCAGCAAATTGACTTCAATGCTTTTCATTAGAAAGTTGAATGTCACGTTCTTGAACACATTGTCAGCTACCGGAGCTGAGATTTCAGACACCTTGCTGACAGCTGGATAAACAATTATGAGTTAAATTTATAACTGATATGGGCAATTATACTTGAAATAGTTCGAAGGGTTTTAGGTCGAGCATGCTTTTGGACAGATTCTTCTTCAGTTTGCAGAGACTCAACGGTCACTTGCTCGATTGGCTCAATGACCTGCTCAATGTCTCCCAAATTTTCACTCAAAACTAGCATACCCAATTTCACATCTTCTTGACGAACATCGAGCTGATGAAAAATAAAATAGTGCTAACAGAGCAGTGAATTTTAAATTTTTCACCTTGATTGCATCTAGTTGGCTTTCCAAATCAATTGCTGGTTTCAGCTTGCACCATCCAATGGACAAATTGCGCTTCACAAGGACTGTGAAGTCAAAAGGTGTGATGAGAGGTGTCTGGCTGACGGCCTTGTTTGAATTATCCAACATCACTCTGTAAATTACTTTGGTTTAAAACCGCTATATAATCAATTTAAAATAAATTACCGAGTGACATGCAAGTGCCTAAGGCCTAAGGTCAAAGTATCCATTGAGACCGTCCTGCTTTCGTTGGGAATCTGCAGCTCTGTGAACTTATTGTTCATCACAATGGTACCCAAATCCAGCATAAATGCATCTCTGGTAGATGTGCTCCGAGGCACAATTACGATAGGTGCCTGTAAAACAATTATTAAAAAAGAATATAAATAAAATCAATTGCTATTACTTTGATTTCAATAGCTAGGGCGATTCTCGTTGCGTTTTCGTACACTTGCTGGATGTTTTGCTTAGCAGCTTCAGCAGCCGCAGCTGATGCAGCCTGGATGGCATTTAGTGCTGCTTGGAAGTTGTTTAAGAAACCTAAAAGACTGTTCACATAACGGTTGAGGAAGAAAATTCTCAATCTCGCCATGTTTGCCTGAACAGCCATAGACGGCTGTCCTTCAGCTGGCTTCTCGTACATGATGATTTTGGCTGCAAGAGCCTCGGTTCCCTCAGACTCGAGGATCTTCTGATATACGGTGTCTGGGTTGCTGTCTGTGACCAGCATTGTCCTCAAAGCTGAATCGATTTCAATTTGGCCTTGCAGCATTTTAATATCAACTCTGACGCCTCGAAGTGAAAACTGCGTCAGATCTCGTTCTGCGTTAGACAAACTGACGCTCAGGTTTTCCAGCCTTGCCACCAGCTTCAGCATGATGATCTTCTTGCTCGGCTTTTTGTCTGAGACAACAGGTTTAAGGGTCATTGAACTGTCCTCTTCCACGATCGTTGCCAAAAGGCGATCCGCGGGGTCCAAGGTGGAGGCGTATCTGTCCTTTGGCTGACGAGGTGCAGGCTTGAGAGAAGAAATTTTGTCCTGAAGACTTTGTGAAAACTCCATTAGCTGGAGAATTCCGGTTTGATGCAGAGCCAGGTCAAGCGAGGTGAATGTTACTTCAAGCAATTTCTCCACATTGTGATGGACAGTAGAAAATTCGGGTGATTTTCTGTTGACCTAAAAGACAACTATCATTCTAAGAGCAACCAATGTAAATCAAACTTACAATTAACAGCCGAGTAGTGAACAGATAGTCAGCTTTTCCATCAGACATTGGTGTGGTGATAGTTTTTCTTGTTTTTCCGTTGATAGTTTGGTCCATCGCAACACCACCAAGGCGCAAAACAAGATTCATGTCAAACGGCCGCTGAATCATTTCCATTTCAACAGCCATTAGTGAGAAATCAACAAGTTTTGTATTAGCACCAGCGTCTTTCCGAGTGATTACGACTCTCAACTCTAAAAATAAAGGTAGAGTATACAAAAACGGTAACTTATTACTAACAACAAATAATACCTTTCATTTCAAACCATATTTCCATCTTGACAGAACTGACTACAAGATCAAGGCCTTCTTGATTTGCACCTGCCTTTCGTTTGTCCACCAGACCCATTTGGGTGAGTGTCATGATGCTTTTGCTCAGTGACCTTCCTTCAGTCTTAAAAAAGATATCAAATTTGATAATGCACAATTCCAAAATGGAAAATTATTTTAAGTAAAGAATAAAATTATCCTTAAGATAATTTATGTATTCAGCCTACCAAAGGCTGTTGTGGCTCCGGTTCAGACTCTGGGAATGGGACGCTGACCAAAATTCCAGCAGTGAGCAAAAGACGCTCTTCCGACAGATTAAGAAACAGAGATGGTAGTTGACCTGCAACTTTAAACTGCGGAATCCTAGGGTCGTTAAACAGCAAGCTTCGATGGAGGTTGATGTCAATGCTCATTGGCTGCACCAAGTGTAGTTGCGATTCAGATGGATTGGCTAATTTTTCCTCCCAATCTTCTCCTGGCTTAGCTACTAGCACCTAAAAGCATGTTATTAACTTTGATTAAAAAGTTTCGCATCAAACTGAATACCTGGACATCTTTCAGCTGGAGAGAAAATTTCTCGTAGCTCTGTGCAATCATTTCTTGCATCACCTCTTGCTCGGAACTGCCTGCTTGAAGCATGTTGGTGATGTTGGGGCGGCCTTTGTCTCTAGCACAAGATGCGATGGACAAACTTCCAAGGCTTACGACAAGAACTGGCACAGGAGATGACCTAGATCAAAATAAAATTTAAAAGGTTTAATCAAAACTTTATAATTATTGCTGCCACATACACATTGATCTTTCCCAACTGTGGCAAAATCATTCTTGAAGCAGCAACTTTGATGTCCAAATCTAGCACCTTTTGTTGGTGGATTGCATGTTGTAGGAGAGTGGCTGATCGATCTTGAATGTCCTCCAGTTTAGAAACAGCCATGGCTTGTAGCCTATCAATCATAATTTTTACTATGTTACCACAAGATAGATATGATAAAATATTTACTGTTTTAATGATGGCTTTTCTGGAGGCTTAAAAACTTCAGTAATTCGAATAATAGTTTCAGCTTCGTAAATCATTTCCAGTGGCTGAGCAGTAATTCGCAAGCGTTGGTCACACAGCCTGTCCATGGGATTTGTCTCAAATAAGATATTGAGCAGGCTTGGTCTGCCGAGAGTTGCCGAAACCAAGGAATAAGCCAGAAGAGGCTCTTGTCCATTTTGAGAAGTACCGGTTATTTTCAAATTTTGCATTTTCATTTCCACCCTAGATCAAATTTGAACAATAAACATATAAGTCAATATTACTTCAACATACTTTGTGGCAAGAGCAGATGGCCTTTGCTCTAGGTTGCACTTGACACCTGAAATGACCAGTTTAACAACCTCACTATCAGTCATGTCTTCATCGTTGACTGTGACTTGCAGAGATCCTAGAGTGAAGGAAGTTTTCACAGCCACATAGAAATGGGGATACTGTGTTGGGGCTGCGTTCTCTTGATAACCAATTGCCTGATACAACTTTTGTTTCTCCTCTTTTGTCATGGCAGCATCAATTTTCGTAGCTACATTATTTATTAAAAAATTTACAATTTGGTAAAAAGTGTATGATAACAAAAATACCAATATCTGATCCGGAATTCTTGTCTGCACTTGAGCCACCTCCAAACCAGCCACCAAACCAACCAGCATTTTTCTTGTTTTCCTCCTCAAGTTTCCTGGTTTTTTGGACCTTAAGATTCAACATCTGAATTAAAAAATCACTTTCAATGTAATTTGGATTATACCTGCACCTCAGCCCTTTTTCTCAACACAATGATGTTGAAAACATCAATCTTCTTCTCAAGCTCAGCAATTTCTTTCAATAGCTCATCACTAGGTTTTTTAGCCTCGAGCTTTTCTTTGAAAGCTTTCTCATATCTCCTGCAACGATCTCTGTGTCTCTTAATGTGATTCCAGTCCCAGTTCTTTCGTTTTCTCCTGATTTCTGTCTCCAGAATGCAATCATAGGCAAAGTTCCACCATGCCTTGTAGTTTCCCCTGTAGTTGTTAATGAAAGGCCGGTATTTCCGGTAAGGAGCTGCTCTGGCCATTCTGTCCATTGACTCGAGGAACTTGACTAAATCTCTATACTGCATTTTAGAAATGCCTACACCACAAAACGTTAAATAGATAGTGCACAAAAAAATTGCAAATTATTTATATAATACCAATGGAAAGAACATTCATGTTCATGTCTAGAAGAACTTTTGGAATCATAAAGCCTGATCCATCTGTCTCGGGCTTTGGATTTAATTGCAGCTGTGCTGTTGCCGAGATGGGACCGAACACTGTACAAAATCAGTTTTAATTAAATTTGATAGACACAAGAAGTAAATCAATTCTTACTGTAGTTATACCCCGAGGGCACTTTATGCTTTGAAGCAATTTCCTCCTGAAACTTTTGCAATCGAGCAATTTCTTCGTAACTAGAGTAGAGAGGAGACTGAGGATTCCAATAAAAAGCTAACCCTTCCATTTCCAGAACCTTGAAATGAATATTCACATTAATAAGGAATATGGCTTTTAAAACAAAATTTACTTTGTGAAAAATGCTTAAAATCTGCTTGGCATCAACAGGTTTTCCAGAACCGTCAGTCGACATAAGCTTTAGGCTGCTCAAGGTGACTCCCAACGAAAAAGGGGAGCCCGGATGGGTGACCCTGTCCTCGTATCGCAGATGGATGTCTTTTATTGTCACTTGCACATTCTTGATGATGTGTGCCACCAGGTTCTCAACAAAACCTGCATCCTCTTTCTTTGTGCTTCCTGCAAAAAGGTATAATTTTTTTGGAATTTTAACTTCAAATGCTTGAGGTTTTTACCTTTCAAGTCTTCAAATTTCTTGGCCTCTTCAACTCTTGCAATTTCCTTCTGCTTGGCCTCTTGGGCCAGACGATCTTCCTTTTCAGGATCATATCGGACCTCTTCATTTGGCACCGACAGCAAAAATACTCTTTCGATTCTGACAATCCATGGCGCTTTGTAAAGATTGGTCCATGGAATAGTCAAAACCAATTTTCCTAAATTCAATAAAACGCATTAAAAGCGTTTTCTTTTTTAATAAATCCTTACATACCCAATCTTCCATAAACTGTTTTGACTGGCAAGTCCAACTCATCAAGTGCATTTTGCTTTAGAACCAAGTCGTCCAAGGCAATGTCACCACCTGTAGAGTAAAAAAGAGTGACATCAGCAAGGAACAATTTGCTCTGACATAAAATAATACACCAGTGGCAAACAGCTCTAGGCACAAACAAATAAAACACGACTTTCCCCCGACAATTCCCTTATCATCTGCAATGCGTAAAAAATCTGGCACGCAATATGCTCTCATGTAAAATAAAACTTTTACACAAATTATATTCATTTTTCAAGTGTTTCTGATAAGAGCAAGGACAAAATTATCGGCTGATTATATTAAAAATTTCATATATGATGAGACGAATTGCAAAGAAAATATTTTAATTAATGCGGCAAAAGTCTAGACTCACCAAAAGCAACTTTCAGCTGCTTTCTATCGACACTTTCGACATACTCGCCGAGGAATTTGTTCAAAACGTCGACGATCACCGACTCAAGAACCATTCTTTTCGGCTGTAACCTTTACTATTCTCTCACGTGATCCGCCGCGTAATTAATACGCTACTCTGTCGCGATCATCGATGTCATTGTCTCTTTTTCTGCCAGGGACCATTCAAGAGAAGAAACCACGACGTTCGCCACAATAATGTGCGTGTTTATATTTTGCAGTGTGACGTAAACCAATGGGAATGCCGGCAGTGAGAATTCCGACCAATCACAAGCAACCCATCCGAGTGCGCAATTTGAACCGACCAATCGGAGCGCTTTATTTACCCAAAACAGCTGAAGACAGGGGAGTCGCCGCAGCCGCACCCCGCAGAGCTGATAACAAGTCCAAATCCGGCATTTTTTTCGGCGAAATGGCGAAAAATACCTCCAGTTCGGCATTCCGAAAGATCGACGTTGACGCATACAATGAGGACAATTACAAGGAGGACGAGCAGGGAGAACTGCAGTCGCCCCCGGTCGGTCCGGACGAAGCGGAAGTCAACTCTTACCTAAGCCAGTGAGTTTCCTCATAATATATTTCAACAAAATTGGGCAGTTTTTTACCGAATTGAGCGAAAATGATTATTTTAACATATTTTCAGGGGTAAAATGGTCGACGCCCTTAAGACTGTCCTTCGGAACGCACCACTCGGCTCTAAAAACCAACAAGTTAAAGTAATTTTTTGCCCACATTTTTCCCGTAGCAAATTTTTAACCTCTTGTTTTTATCACAGGACGCTGCCCTTGCGCTCACGATGAAGGTTCTTCTGAACATTAAGACCTCTCAGGTGGAGGAGGTCGTTTCAGCGCTTGACCCCGACCTTGTAGACATCCTTATGAAGTATGTTTACAAAGGCTTTGAGTCGCCCTCCGAGGGCAGCAGCGGCCACCTATTGGTCTGGCACGAGAAGGCTTTTGCCGCTGGGGGTCTCGGAAGCATAGTCAGGGTGCTGACAGACAGTAAGAGGGCCTGAAGAATTATTAATTCGCTGTTAATTGTAAATTTAAATTTTTAATCTCTTTATCAGTTGAACAATATTAACTAACGAAATATTTGATTCCAATCGTTAATTTTAATGAGCATTTATGAAGAAGTATTGATCAATGAAACTCCAAGGATGCTGGATTTTTCTGAACTACTTTAAGGTTGCAATGCTGTAATTTTAAATGATTTTTTGTCTTGCTCAAAACGCAAACTCTATGAAACAAGTCAGTAGAGAAACTGATTTATGAATTGATAGCTGTTGATTAGAAGCGAAAGTGCTGTTGAACACCCATAAATTGTCTTCTATTGCTAATGTTTAATCATTGATTTCCATAAAAAATCAATTTTTTGAAAAGAAAGAAAATGTCATTTTTTAACAACTTACCTTAATTTTTTTAAGCTTTAATTCATCGCTTTGTTAAATGGAATTTATTTATTCCTTGGATATTTTATGAGTTTAATCAAGTCAGATTTTTTTTAAATTTCAAATTGATTTCATAATTTCAAAAGTTAAATTTTATAATACTGCCCAAAATGTTTTGGTTTTGCAGTTTTTTTTTTTATTATTTTGAATTTTATTTCATCAAAAATTTCAATGATGCTTCGAGCCTTACCAACAAGTCTTGAAGGCAAATGTCCGCACTCTCAGTGGCTACAGCCGTGCCGGGGGTGCTTTGACAAGACCCGCTGGCAATTAAGAGGCATCCCTCTCTGAAAGCATGCAACCCTTTGAGACATGGCCGAGCACGACGAGAGAGTGGCAAGTTTTGGGATCAGCATGTATCTGTGATTAGCGCAGAGAGTTAAAAGCAGGTGGTCCCTGGTGTCTCTTCTGCAGATAAAATTTGCGCTGTTTTGACTTGCAGCTCGGAACAAAAAAGCGTCTGTCGAGGAAGGACTTTATGGGATCAATAATTCAGCGCCATGAGGCTGTATAATTTCCACGCCAGCAACCAACGGTGGACACACAAATGCAGGGAAAGAGCTTGATGTACACGTCTGTTGCCCAGCACAGAGAGAATGGGTGTACACGCTCATTTGCATTGCTAAACGAGCCTTCACGTTTGGCGGATAGAGGCCTGCAAACAATTTTGTTGCCTCGTCTGGTGAAACCAACCACTTGTACATTTGTTGGATAAAGAGTTTTACGTACTGTTGCTTGCCCTAATAGACGCCTTAATTTAATTTCGGAAGCATTTTTTCATTGAACGTAAAATTGTGCCTATTTTTCTCCCAACCAATTTTTCACAATTGATTGTTTGACTTGTTTGGAGAAAAATAAAATGAATTGAATTGAATTGAGTTAGATGCTTTTTCATGCAGTAGTGTAGTTTGACAATACTTTTAATTTTTTTCAAAATAATTTAATTGTCATTTCAATGATATAAGTGAGCATGGTTAAAAAAATTCTAGCTTTTATCCCCAAAAGACTTTCAAGGTCTTTCAGAAAAATGTATATTAGTCAAACGCTTTTTTCCTCTTTTCACCTTTTGCTTTTGTAGTTTTTTTTATTTCTCAAATGTATCCAAAACTGGGCAGAATATACTTCATTTGAAAAAGAAAAATGTAAATAAAATTTACATGACATATAATCTTTCGATCACCCACAACACCAGCAGAATAAAATGTCCAAAGCTATATAACTATGGCACTGAATTAAAAAATACTTATTTGATAAAAATGATTAAAAACACCTTTCCCAAGCCTCCTTTTTTTAACCGCGGTTTGCGTTAAATGGTGGACCAAAAATTGCAAAAATTATATTTTTTATGTCTGACTCTAACATTTCATTACACAAGAGAATTGAAAATGGCAGAGTATGCCTCATTTTTTTTTGCCACGTTCATTACACTTTTGGAGAGTTGCAGCAAAGCCCCTCTTAAAACTTAATATATGACTGGAAATAAATGTGTTCTAGGTAAAAATGGCCCCACAAGCGAAAAGTGCGCGCCTTTGAGGTTTAACGCGTGGTTTTACCCTTGAGATAGCCGCGAGTAATTTGAGGAGCGCAGCTCATATTTGCCGCACATTATTATTTGCATTAAAAGAAGGCAAAGAAAGGGTAGGGTGCTTTTTACCCCTTTCTTTGATGCTGATTATTTTGCACCAGCAGAGTGGCCACTTTGTATCTCTCCAAGGAGAGTGAAAAAAGATCCCCTTATTTTTGGGAATGCCCCTTTGTGAATTTTTAAACTGCCTTTATGATGCCCAATTTGAGCATAATCCAATTAAAAATACTGAGTATACATTGATATTGCAAGATATATTTAATGCTTTGTTATGGCTAGTAAAACATATTAAATGAAACATCATAACTTCTTATTAAATGTGAATTTATTATTTTAACAGTGATGTAGCAATTCATAGCTGATTGAATTATTTAGAAAAACTCAAGTCATGAATAACTAAAAAGAAAATTTTAAAAACAATTTTATTTTATGATTTTTGAATGTTATATTAAATAAATAAAATTTAATTATAAGTAAGCAATAAGAAACTATAATATGCAATTTTTGTTTATTAAAATTGAATTCTCCCCATTTATTTTTAATTTCTTTTAATTTCCTCCCGCTTAAATTTATGTGTCCTTTAAATTTTAATAATGTGTAATAATGAAAACGAGAATGTAACCGAAGCAGCTATATAGCTCTGGCTTTTCGCTAGACATGCACGTGAAGCGGGATGCATAACCTCCGATCACGATGCCTGCGGGCATTCACAGAAATGCACTCCACAGTCGTGCGACTGGTGTGTATTTCTCGTTGCTGTGAAACACATCCGCACCAAGACGGAAAAGTGATGCAGCCTCGCTTTTTGCTCTTTCGCCACGGCTGTCTTGCATGATTTTCTGCTGCACCATCAATCTTGCCTGCTCGCAATATTACAACTCCCTTGCGTACACACGCGAGACACTCACTCAACCCAGCAGCAGTCAGTTCCTTTTCATAATGCACAAAAGCTGCCGAGAGATGTGATGAAAAGAACAAGTTGAGCAAAACAAACGCTCCTTTCTTTTCGCATTTGCAGTCGCGACAACAAACTCCCGCCGAGCTGCATCGTCAGCTTCGATGTGCTCGGCTCCAAATGGAGTGCGCCGCGCGTGCATGTTTATGGCCTTTTCCGCGGGCTTATTTGCTTCCTTATGCACACTGTAGCATCAAGAAGATTGTGTTACTTCGCATTTTTCCATTTCCCCATTCAATCATACACTGCATATACACACTGACAGAGATACAAGATATGCAGCAAAAATAGCACTGTATGACGATATCTTTTGTGCATATATTTTCCGCTTTTCTTCTGAACTTTTTCTTTCATGAAAAAAATCTGATTGTAAAAATTACTTGAACTTTAAATTTAAAAATCTATTAAAAAAATTAACTCAATATTTTAATAAAAATTCGGAATGAAAATTTCGAAGATGGTTTTGAAATAAAAATGGATCAGATTAGAAAGTAAAAAATGATTTTGTATTCCGCGCTCATAATCTCATAATTAACTAACAGGATTGATACAAGTTATTTATCGCAATATAGGATTTTTTTTTTACTGAAATTAAATATTGAAAGCCGAATTTTGGTCTTATAGCATTATGGTTTGCTTCAAGGAATAGATTTGTTTCACAATAAAAAATAAAAATAAGAGTTAAATTTCACAATTTATAAGGCTTTTTTACAATGCCTAATTTTTTTTATGTGAAATTTGTTTATTTGTTAATTTAGTATAAATGAAATATAATCTAGCAACTGCGAGCACATAGCACTTAGAATTTTGAAACTTTTATGGACATATGAGGCAGTGTATGAGGTTAAGTGTGCGAGGACAAAATCCTCTTTCACCTTTAGCCTCGCTCTGAAGGGTGAGTTTTTGGCTCAAGAAGGTGCTTGAGCTCACCGTGTTTCGTTCGTTACTTTGCAAGGCCCGGCGGCTGTTTTGCGCTCAGGCAGCACTTTGCGCGTTTATCTTCCAGCCATCTTGGCTCATTCCGTCCTTGAGTGAGCACCCGGCTCGATAGGCCCTTCGCTCTCTCTCAGGACAGGCGGCCCTCTTGATGTCGCCTCGACGGCGAAATGAAGCGTGACACCGCGGGCATAAAAATCCCATCATCGTCTTCTTTACGATCTCATTTTCACATTACAAATCTCGTTTATTCTGGCGGGGAGCCTTCCCGATATGTATGTGCGAATGCGTGTGTTGTGTGTATTTGATTTACCTCATCATTCTGCTTCTATTTTTTCAAATCGTCCGCTCGCCACTGCTCTTCCGTTATTTTCGTTCTGTGTCTCCACGCAGTAACGAGAGGCGGTTTTTACGGGCGGCCTGCCGGCGATGGGGTTAATACTTTGCAATTTGGCGCGCGGAATTGGCTCATCCATCATAAAGCGACGTCGCTCTTGTGTGTTATCAATAAAAAGGCCGGGAATTGGAATTTTCTGTTTGATTCCCATATGAAATATCTCGGCGCACCGCAGCGCGAATCTGGGTCATTGTACAGAAAAACGAATTGTTTCATTATTTGCCGCACCATTTCGTTTCATGGCTTTCCCCGATTTGCCCTTCTTGAGCTTTTGCCTTATGGTTTAGCTTTCAAACGCGCAAAATGAGAGGAAATAATAAGAGCATCAAACGAAACCAAATGCAAGACGTTAAGATATTCCATAAAAATAGGGATTTTTTTAATTCTTGTTGTATATATTCCAATAAAAAATTAAATATTTTTCTTTCATTTTAAATAGTAAAAATTTTTTAAATATATTTGTTTTATTTCTAGATTTCATATTATAGTCATCATCTAATGCGGATTCATACAAAAATCTCAACCATGCCTTGAGCTTAAAATTTCACTTTTACTGGGAGTAATCAAAGTTTTATGGTGTCAGTTTTACACAGACGACATTGGCGATGATGGCGCGCGGAGGGTTGTTGGTTGTTGAGAAAAAAGAGAACGCGGCTCGCGCAAAATTATGAGCCGGCATGTTGCGTGTCGCGTCTTTTATGCCGACAATAAAAGCAAAAATGTAGCAGTCTGGCACTTATTCTTCTTGTGCATCTCTCCGCCGGCTAGAAGCAAAAATATTAGTATTAATAATGGGGTGGCGTATGCGTTCTGGTGAGGAAGGGAGGACGCGTGTAACAATGAATAGAGGCCTACCACATGAATCACGGCTGAAATTTTCTTACTGTAGTGTAGGGGGTTATCTTTTAGCTGCGTATATATGGTATTTACGGATGCGTAGCGAGAGAAAAAGTTGCTTTTTTGCGACCCCCAAAGTGAGGGGCGCACGCGGGGATTGCAACGTTATTACGATTCTTTTGGCTGCTTTTTTGATTTATGCATCGCCTGCTTAGATAA